CAGCTAAGGCAGTCCTCAGGGGTCAGTTCATAGCAGTGAGCAAACATAAAAAAAAAAAAAAAAGAATGGAGCAATATTAACTACTCAGCACTTCCAGCAAATAGAACAAGAACAACAAACTAATCCCACAGCCTCTAGAAGAAAGGAAACTTCAGCACAAGGCTGAAATCAATAGGATAGGAAATGGAGAAACAACTGAAACTATCAATAAGATCAGGAGCTGGTTCTTTGAAAGGAATAACAAAACAGACAAACCATTGGCAATCTTAACAAAAGGCAAGATACAAATAACTCCAATAAGAAATTAAACCCATTAAGAAATGATATCTCAATAGAACCAGTTCAAATGAAAATTATAGATGATTATATAATAAATAAAATTCCAATAAATTTGAAAACCCAGAGGAAATGGATGAATTCCTAGAAACCCACACCCTACCTAGATTGACACAGACAAATGTAGGACACTTGAACAGACCCGTCATAAAAGTAATTAACCAGGGCATAGAAAGACTCTCTAGCCCCACCAAAAAAATTCCCTAATCCAAATGGCTGCAGGGACTAATTCTTTTTTTTAATTACTATTATTATTATTATTATTATTATTATTATTATTATTATTATTTTGTGTGTGTGTGTACCGTCAAATCAGATCTGACTGGTACAGGAGGAGATTGCTCCTCCTTCTCCAGCAGAGAATCTGGTGGATTAGGGACTAATTCTGTCAAACATTCTGAGATGAACTATCATTTAAATTATTTCAAAATAGAAAAAGGGGAAAAAAAGAACACTCCCTATTCATTCTATGTAACAAGCATAACCCTAATGCCAAAACCAGGCAAAGACATCACCAAAAAAAAAAAACACTATAGACCCATATCTCTCATGAACACAGATGCAAAAATCCTGCCAATAGAATCCATCAGTATATTTAAAGGAAAAAAATCAAACAACATGATCAAGTGGGTTTCATAAAAGGAATGCAAAGATGGTTCAACATAAGGAAAACAATTGATGTAATTCACCACATTAGTAAAGCAAAGAACAAGAACTACATGATCCTCTCAGATGATACAGAAAACACCTTTGACAAAATCTAACACACCTTTCTCATTAAAAAAAAAAACTGAAACCAGTAGCCAATCATTTTCGATAGAGACTAAAGGCACTCCCCTTGCAAACAGGGACCAGACTCTTCCTCAATATTATATCTGAAGTTCTAGCTAAGTTAATAAGGCAAGAGAATAAAATAAGAAATACTCAAATTGGCAAAGAGATGGTGAAACTGTTGCAGTCAGTATGATGGTGTATTCAGAAAACCCCAAAAACTCAATAGTAGATGGGTTTGGTAAAGTTGCAGGATATAAGATCAACAGAAAAGCATCAATTGGATTTCTCTATATCAACAAAATAAACACAGAAAATAAAACTAGAAAAGAAATACTGTTTATAATAGCCAACCACAAGATGAAATTCTTGGGAATAAATCTAAAAAATTACTACAAGAAACAAAATGGAAAAATGTTCCTTGGCATGGGTTAGGAAGTCTTAACATTGTGAAAATTACAAACCTATCAATAGCAATCTACAGGTTTAATGCAATCCCAATACAGATACCAAATTCACTCTTCAAGGAGATAGAGAAGACAATTTCTCATTTCAATTGGAAAAGAGACACAGAATAAGTAAAACTCTTCTGAAAAATTACATAGGAGGCATCTCAATCCCTGACCTTAAAACCTTATACATGACCTTAGTCATCAAAATAGCATAGTATTGGTACAACAATAGACATATACATAGACCAGTGGAATAGAATCAAAGAACTAGAAATCAAACCATCTACTTATGATTAACTGATCATTGACAAGGAAACAAAACCCATTAAATGGGGAAATAACAGTCTCTTTAACAAATGGTGCTAGCAAAACTGGACATCTGTTTGAAGAAAACTGAAACAGCAACTGCAAGTCATACTCAACACACATAACAACTCAAAGTGGACCAGAAACCTGGGGGTAAAACCTAAAACCATTAATATCATATTAGACAATATGGGAGCAAATTTGGAAGCCCTCGTCTACAGCATAAATAGTTCTACAAACAGCAAAAAAACTACACAACCAGAAGGGGATAAAATTGATAAATAATCCTAAAATCAAATCACTGTGTGCATCAAAGCCTTTCTTCAATAGGATTTAAAGAAAGTCCACAGACTGGGAAATATTTGACAATGACATTTCCGACAAGGATCTCATATCTAAAGTTTACAAAATACTACAAGACCTCCACAAGATATAGAGTGATGACCTACTCACAAAGGAAGACATTTGGATGGCCAACATACATGTAAAAAAAAATGTGTCTGGCAAAATCACTGGCAATCAGAGAGATGTAAATCAAAACAACAATGGAATACCGTTTCACAGTAGCAGTAGTAGCAAAGTTTAACACCACAGCAAACAGTAAATGTTGGAGAGGATGTGGAGATTTTAGAACTCTCAGGCACTGCTAATGGGATTATCAAATGGTATAACGAAGGCCGTTAGTTTGATGTCCTATATGACCCAGGTATTCCACTGCTAGGAATATACCCCCAAAAAATAGACTTTAGACATGAATGGAGATATGTACACTTGTGTTCATAAAAGCATTATTGACAATAGCAAGAAAATGGAAACAGCCCATATACCAGTCAGCAAATAATGGATTGAGAAACTGTGGTACATTCACACAGTGGAACATACAGCACTAAGGAACAATGATTTTGGGGAAATAACATGAGAGATTCTAGAGAGTCTTATGCTGAATAAAGTAACTCAGTCACATAAGGACAAATGCTGCATAAGGCCACAGTGAAAAGAGGAGGATAACAGCAAAATATTCAAAGGAGGACAGGGAATGGGGAAAATCACTAAGACAGCAGAGGTTAAGGAGTATCTAGGAGGTGAAGAAATAGGAAATATGTAATGGGAACTTGAAGAGACAAAGTAATAATAGGCACAGATCAATAGAAAATAATTATATAAAGTATAATGTATATGTACATACATACATAGTACATATACATTATATTGATTCAGTGACTGGGATAATCAGGATGGGAGTGTCAGAGACAGTGCGATTGGCACAGGACAGAGCAGAGTTTAGGGCTGTTGTACATAGGGTCGCTATGAGTCGCAAGCAACTCGATGGCACATAACAACAACAACAACATAATGTATGTGAGTAATTGTATAAAACAAACTACATGAAGGAAACACAATGTATATGAATTAAAATAAGCAAACTAAAAAGAGTACTGTTAGGTCGATTTCTAAATGGAAGAAATTTAAAAGAAATACAAAAGACTTCTTAAAAAGCAATCTATAGAAAAATCATTAGTGTTATGTAACAAGTGTTTCCAGTTTTAAAAGAATGCAATTTCAAAATGTATTTATCAGACAGAAATCATTAGCCTAGAGTTTTAAGAAGATTATCTTAATAAAATTTTGTTCCAGGTGGTTGTATTCATGACCAAGGGCTAATTAAATGCTGTGCATAAATTAATCAAGTGAAATAGACCCCTGAAGAGCTGACTTCTAAAACCTAATTTACTTTAAACTGTATGCTGGAGTCTGAAGTCCATGGAGGAGATAATAAGCTAAGGAAAGTATAACTCAGTTGAATTTTCTTATCTGTGTGTCTACTGAAAATGTTGGCTATTCTTAGCCCTTTTAATCTAAACACCTGGAGTTGTAATTTAAATCTTTATAAATTAAAAAAAGAATATCAAAAGTAGCTGATAAGTAGATACTATCTGCCTTTTTCAGTTTTTATTATTGTTGTATCTTTGATTGCTAGATTATTCAGAAAAAAGTGTATATTCAACAATTGTTTGTTTAATATATGAAAGATACAGATTTAACTTGGCCTGATCCAAACTTCTACTGTAAATACAGTTAAGTAGAGCCAGAAAACAAAAATATCTAGTGTTCTGACTCCCTCTTCTAAGCAACCAGTGCTTTCAGTGTCACCATTAAAGCTTACTGTAGGAGCCCTCAAGAGTCTTGTGAGTATAGAAAGTTGAGTCACAGGAAAAGGAATTCTTTTATTCTCTTTATTCCATCATATTATGTAGGCTAAGGAGACATGGAAAGATGAGAGAGAATAAAATTCTCTCCTACACAGTACAGCCTTTGGGTTGATGAAATAAAATGGTGAAAAATCAATGCATACTCAATACCGAATAGATAAGTGGATTGGTGAGGAAGGTAATCATATTAATTAATACCTAACTAATTAGAAATACCAGTTCTACTATATTCAGGTGGTGAGAAAAGCCAAACCTTGTCAGTCTAAAAATTGATATGCTGGAGTCCACTGAAATGTTATCAAACTTGGAAAGAAAATCATGTCCTGATGTGTGGAAGAATCAGGAATTACATTGGAAATTAATTCACTGCATGTAGGTTATTCTGAAGCTTTCATTGTTAAGAATAAACATTGGATATGATCCAATTTAGAGGTAAGAAGGAAATTTGACCATTAGGCTAACTTAGCTTGAGGGGTCTTCCTTCCTTACTTGATTATTTTTACATATGCCACTTATTGACTGAACTCTTTTGCAATCCCAAGGTTGGTTGTTATTACTTTTAATAATATTATTAATATTTTTACTTGACTATGAGTAGCCATTTTGCCGAACATAAAAAGATAAACTAGTCAGCTGATCCTCAATTCCTCTTATATTGCTAGGCTTTAGTGTGAAGATATGGAAACACAATTATGTATAGTGGGGTAGGAATATAACATGGAATGAGCAGCAGTGTGATATTCTAACAGAAGCATAAATAAACATATAACGAGTTTATTTGTATATATGCATAATTCTGTGAAGTTAGATGTAACTCTTAGATTTTACATTTACTTTCATTGATTTGATATGCAAGATCTCATTTTCTTCAAATTTACCTCTCATTTCAACATTATCTTTATCGCAATTTACTTTTCCTTTCTAGCCCCTGGTGGAACACGCATAGATGATGGTGACAAGACCAAGATGACCAACCACTGTGTGTTTTCAGCAAATGAAGATCATGAAACCATCCGAAACTATGCTCAGGTAGGGACTATAAGTGAGGGGGTGCCATTGTATTAGAAGGAAAGCATTTGAACGAGATTTAAGGAAAAGGTGAGAGACTCTCTACTTAATAGTGGGAACTCTGATGGGCTGGGGGTAAGAAATTTTTCTGCCAACCCAAAGGCACACAATTCAAATCCACCAGCAGCCCCACAGGAGAAAGATGGTCCTTCAACTCCCGTGCTATTTACAGCCTCTGAAAACTCAGTAGAGTGAGCTATGAGCTGGTTCTCCACGGAATTTGATAATGTGACACAAGTGTAGAAGCATTAGATAGTTCTGTAGATGTTTTTCAAGCTTGTTTCTGCTGGGGGCACTCTCCTAGGGGTATTTGAGCTGCCTTCGCAGTTTCAGCATCTTAGGTCACTAGAAGGTGGGTAACATGAAGATCTTTTTGTGGCTGTGGATGCCCTTCAGAACTGCCTTCTTGGCCTTTAACACTTTTGATTTGGCTTCAGTTTTGAGAGGGGTTGGTGCTTTCTTCTTCGTTTTTGGTGTCAACTTCATAGAAAGTAATAGCAACCCTTTGAACAGTTAGTCAAAAAGCCAGATCCTGTGCCACCTACAGCTCCATGCTTAAGCACTGCACCACCAGGTGTTCTTAAACTCTTCAGTAGTAGACTAATAAGATTCAATCTAGTCTATAAATAGACTGCTATCTAGCATTTGAAAAGAAAGCATAATAGCCTAAGAAAAAAGCTCACTGGAGGGTCAATTTTGACTTGAAGGCAATGGAGAAAAATCTTGCAATTAAAAAAGTGGGAGAAAAGCTTAAAAGCTCACAAGCTACCACCCAAGGTAGCAATTGACCTCTATACACCTTGAGCAACTGAGGAAGGAAAAGATTTAGGAATAGGAGGTGGATATGGAATGTGTTGCTAATTATCACCAGAAACAACTGTCTCCTTTCTCATGACACCAGAATTGATGGTGCCTGCCTACCAGTACTGAATGTTTTAATCAAAACTTCTATAGAAGAATCCTGATCAAAAAGAAGGAAATACAAACTAGAATTTCTACTCCTATTAGACCCAGGTTTCCTGGAGTATTCCTCAGAATGTTGATAAATCCCTTGAACTGTTACCCTGAGATAATCTTTACACCTTAAGCCAAGAATATCCCCCTCTCCCCATGAAGTCTTAAAACCAAACAATAGTTTAGCTTACCTAGTGAAAATAAGTGTCTTCCTTAAGCATTATGCTCTATATAGAATCAAACTGACAATAGCAACTTGAAAGATTAGTGAGGATCTTTTGTACACCACCTTTTTACATTTGCTGTTGTTGTGTGCTGTCGAGTTGAAACTGACCTATAGCTGATCCTCCAATGGTTTTTCAAAGGCAGTTAATTGCATGGGAAGACACTGTCCATCTTTCTCCCATGGAGCAGCTGATGGATTCAAACCTCACATCTTTGGCTTAACCACGCAACTCCTTACCACTAAGCCACCAGAGCTTCTTTTTCACATTTAGTGACATGTAATTAGAAAGATTAAATGGAACATATACAAACTGTTAAACTGATATTTCTTTTGCTGTGACTTTGTTCAACAACAACAACAAAATCTTTTTTTTTTCCTGTTAGGAAAAGACACGGGCATCTCAAAGAAGAATAAACACAAATCCTCATTAAACATACAAAGATAGGTTCAAATCCATTAGTAACTAGGGACATTTGGATTAAAATTATGAACTCTCATTTTATAAACACTGGACAGATAAAAAAGCTCAGATATCATAGGCCCTTATATAGCACAGGAAGTGATAGGATTATATAGTAGGACAATGGATTTATGAAAGTGGTCATAAATAAATCATGGACAATGAGCTCCCAGTTAGCTTGTTTCTGTTCCAATTCTGTCATTGATTCTATTTACAAGACAGTTTGTTGGGTGTTTTTTTTTTCTCCCCAACTAAACAATTAGGGTAAGTCCTGCATCAATAAGTCTTCTTGTTAACTGTTTCAGTATGTCAGATGAAAAGGCTATAGGAATTAATTGCAACTCAGTGGCCGAATTTCAGAGGTAAGAAATCATACCTTTATTTGGGTTACTAAATGTATAAGATATCTTGAGCCAAATAATTTGGGATATGTGGCCATTAAGAATTTAAGCTTTGAAAAAATAGTTTTAATTACGCTACTTTATCAAAGATACTTATTTTGCTTTTTTATTTAAGAGCTGTCTAAATTTTTTTTTAATGAAGTAGAGCAAAAGACAATGATTAGCAAAAGAGACTATAGCTCTTAACTCATCCTCTATAAATGTTTACTTCCACTGTGCATGGAAAAGGCTACAAATGCTTTAAGAAGAGGAATGCTAAAGTAAATATACTCAAGTCAATTAATGGACTTTGAAAATGTTCCACTTTTGTCTATTAAATAAGCAAATACAACAGTCTGGTTGTATTCCTCATATGAATCCAATCTATTCTTCTGGGACTTTTTCTTCTAAGAAGTAATAGTTTAGTATTACTATTAGAACTTAAAATGAGATTTTAAAAATATTGAGATATTGAAGACTTTTTAAGCATACAGTGGGTAAAACACAAGGCTGCTAAAGAAAAGGTGGTCAAGTCTGAACTCAGCAACCACTCCACAGAAGAAAGACAAAGCAGTCTGCTTTCGTAAATGTTACAGCCTTGGAAACCACAGAGGGCAATTAATTCTGTGCTGTCCAATAGAGTCCCTCTGAGTCAGAATTGATTTGTCAACATTGGCTTATGATATGCCTGGGCCAAATAATAAGAGTTTTAAAGAGCTGAAACATTTAACCTATATCAGGCAACTAATTTCCTTTAGACTTTAGGAAATAGAGTTTCTTAAAGGTGAATATGATTATTTTCCCTGAAAAATGTTTGTAGGCGCTAACATGTAGCTAGAGGATGATAGTTATAGCCTTTAAATAGTAGTTACCAGGGATCCCAAAATCTTCTATTGGTGGAACTAAATGCTTCTGCTATCCCATTGAGAACAGGAGGTAACTTTGTAGAACACTTAATAGCTTTTCAGAAAAGAGTTTGCATCTATTTTGATTAGTTCTGATCCCAAAACAGAACAGAAGTTACAGCAGACCGCATGACCACCCTTGTTTGAGTGTATACCATGCACGCTCAACACATCCAGATGCTATGCAATCAGAAAAAAAAAACTGATCAGCCATAAGCGATAGTTTATACATGATGTGTATTGAAAGGTGATTTGTTTTAAAACTAGGCTACTTACATTGAATTAATTTACAACAGAAAACCAAAATTACATACAAATAAATAAACATTTTGAAGATAGTTTAATCTTGAACTAATTAATTTATATAACAACGAAGGAATCATATTCAAATGTTTACATAAACTTCCAACAAAATTTTAAAACAATGCAGTGAATACTTTGTATTCACATCTGACTTTCTGAACACAATCTTTAAAAGAATTTTTTTTGTCCCTGCCAGCTTCCCATTGATCAGTGTCCTTGCTACATTCTTGCGTAGCTTCTACAGTTTCATTAAATTCTCTGTCTTTAACATGATTTGAAATATCCCGTTACATTGTCTTAACTTATGTGTAAACCTTAATAGGTAAAAAGACTGACAGAAAAACATGATCAATTTGAAGGGCAGAGAAAAAGAAAGAAATTGACTAGAACAGAGCATTTGGTCATGACTTATTTTATATAAACTGCTGATTTATTTGAGAATACTTTTATAACATAATACCTCTTGGTTTCATATGTAGCTATTGCTAGAGTTGGTTAATCATTGATGAATAAGAGAGTAGGTGAGAGTATATCATGGGGCTTAAAGAGGAACTAGATACAGAACATGTCCATAAGCTACTAAAATGATCAATAGACAAAAATTGTAATTTAAATAATTCAACTTGCCAAATAACCCAAATTTATCCAACACTTTTTAAAATTAGTTTTCAATCATCCATTTTGGCTTTTTAACATTAATTGCAACTGATCACTGCTATTTATTGCAATTGTCTCATCAAATCCTCACTGTTCCCTCCCTTTCTCTTCATCCTACCTCTCCATCTGCTCAGGGTTCTGACAACACATTGAGGGGGAAGAAGGTAGACAGTCTGCCTTTATTGCTCCTCAATGATACTCCTCCCACCCCCAACATCTGCTGAAAACCTATTCACGTCCATCTAGGTGTGAGCTCTCCTTACCTCTGCTTTCTTCTTGATCATGCCATTCCCTGCGTATTTATGCAATTACATTTTAAGTCTTCTTCATTTCCATTATCTTAAGTTTCTATATCTGACAATTTTAAACTTACCTTCATTTTATTTTATTAGGGATCTTTTTCTTTCTGTTATAATCATGAATTACTTGGTTTTGAGATCCTGGGGTGTTTTTTTTTTTGTTTTCCACTTGATCACATTCATTCCTTTGGAATGCTTCTCTCGCAGTTTGTACACATTTAACTCACGCTTTTATTATTACAAATACATGATTTTGGAAACTTTCCATGTTGCCTTCTATGTATTTTTAAATTGTTTGTGTAAATAAAGAATGATTTTCCCCCCCCTTATTGTTTAGGTCTTCAATAAACTCATCAGGAGATATAAGTATTTGGAAAAAGCATTTGAGGATGAAATGAAAAAGGTAAAAAAGCCTATATAATGCCTTGTCTGTTTCGAATGATGGAATGGAGGGGAATTAAAAAAATCACAGGCATGCTAATAGCCTTTAAGTGCCACAATATAATAAATGCGTGCTGCACAAGTATGGTGGATTATTAGCTAATAATAATTCTGTTAGAGTTGTTGTTTGTTAGTAGGTACTGTTGAGTCTAGCTTCTGTTTCAATTGCTAATAGGAATATGGGGCTATCTGTAACTTTTATACTTCTAGTTAGTGCAAAACAAACTTTTGTTCAGTAGAAATATTTTTATAGAACATAAACTCTGACTTCTTTGCCTAGAGTTATTCAAGAAACATAAGTAAAGCGAAGGAAAAAAATCACAATATGGTGATTAAATAAAGCAAGTGAAAAAGCATAGCATAAAAAAAAAAAACTTAAAAAAAAGAAAAGCATAGCATAGCACATAATCATAAAGTTCATTTCATTTCTAAAAACGCCATTTAGCCAAGAGGATAAAAGTGCATCTGTGGAAAGAGAATGTCTGGATTGAAATCTCAGGTTTTTCTTCTCTATAAAATAAGCTATAGGAAGAGCACTTACTTTATGGTTGTTATGGAGATAAATGAGATCTAGAGTGCTTAACATAGTAACTGGCCTTTAGGCAGAGGCCCTGGTGGCAAAATGGTTTAAACACTTGGCTGCTTTACTGCATTATAGTGCCGCATCTTATACCATGTTAAGCAATGTGACCGAGCAATATCTAAATTACTTTTAAAATAATGACACCACTTGTGTCTCCATTTTGTTATGATTGTTGTTGAGTGCTGTTGAGTTGGAATCCACTCGTAGCTGACCACGTAACAGGCTTTCAGAGGCAGTTAATCGCATGGGAGGAGATTGCCCATCCTTAGGTATGTTTATGTAGTAAATGTGAGTAGTTGACAAGCTTTAAAATGTAGTGCTAAAGTTATTTTACTTTGGAGGCAATTCTGTCTTCATTTGAATCCTTTTCCTTTTATAATCAGAGAAAAGACCAGACCAATATGAAATGTCAGCACTTCTGTTATTTTTTCCACTCTGGTGCTCCCTAGAGCTCCAGCTTCTGATATTCTGAGCCCCTCCACTATCCAAGACTTGACGACAGCTTCCATTTTAGTTCTTTGAGGTATTCATAGGCATAAATTGGAAGACGTGAAATGGTTTGATTCCAATTCTACCACTTACTCATAATGTAAATATTTGGAAAGTCAAATTCTCTCTGTAACATAATAACCCTTCAGTTACTGAGAATAATGAATTCATATTACCCTGCCTACCTCAGAGAATTAATGAAAGAATCATGTCATTTACATGAAAGCATTTAAGCTTGAATTGGTGCCAGTAACTTTTCATTGGTGCAAAGTATTAAAAAAGTCTGTGGTTCTAATAGTGACAGTGGTCCCTGGAGAATCTCTGTAACATGCCTAAAAACTACTAAAACAGAGAAAATGGTTGTCATATAGTCAAAAGGGAGCTCTGGTGGCCTAGAGAGTAAGGAGTTGTGCTGCCAACCTTAAAGGTAGTCGGTTCAAATCTACCAGCTTCTCAGGGGAATAAAGGTGGGCAATCTCCTCGCTCATTTAGTTACTGAAAACTTGCTAGAGACGCAGCCATGAATGAATTCTGACTTGATGACAATGAGTCAAGGTTGTTTTTTTTCCAATGTGGTCAAAGTACAAGGTGAAGGACTATTGGGGGGGGGGTGCAGGGGCAAAGCATTGTTCAGTTATTCTTAGAATTCAAAGTGGGAGTAGAATGTGACCCCCCCCCCCCCAGCCAAGAATCCATGGCAGTGGAGTTGGTGTAATTGAAGCCCAGGGAATGAGACTACTGAGAACTCAGGGAGCATTGGCATCCCTTCCAAAACTGCTCTTCCTGCCTCAAATCAGAAAGCTTCCTATATCCTGATATTCTTTGGTTGAAACTTCTTTTTACCTTGTATTTCCATTTTCTCATCATCAGACATATTAGTAAGCTGTGAGTCTCAGTGGTTTGATATTTTAAAGAAAATATTAAGAACCTAAAAATCCTCCCCCCATACACACACTTAACAGTCATCTTCCTTTGAAGACTTGTATTTTGTGAACTTGGAAAAATATATACCAGACATCAAAAACTTCCACTATTTCCTGGTTTTCTTTTCCTTTCCCTCTATGAAAATTCTACTCTTCACCAAAGCAAATACATAGATACAGCAAGTAGGTTACCCCAAGAAGTGAAGAAAACATGAAAGACAATATATTTTCAAAACTTACTTATCATATGAATTTTTTTATTCCATAGTCTAATGGAAATGATATGTAATCTCTTCATATTGTTCTCCAAATCTCCAAATTTTTCTTACCCATGCATATTGTCTATAGATGGATTGAAAGTAACATTAAAAAGTATAAGAGCTTCAAAGAAAGGAATCCTGTTTGATAAGTTAGTGTGTCTTGGTGTCCAGTTCGTAAACAGCACTCTCTGCGTTTTCAGTGACTATTAAGTATGCTTTGCATATCCTCTACGCGTTGTGTGCCATCTAGCCGTGGAAGACCATTGTTTATATTTTCCTACTTTAGTCTTTGCTTTATAGACATGGTTTCTTTTGTTTGACCCACAGCTTCTCCTCTTCCTTAAAGCCTTTTCTGAAACAGAGCAGACGAAGTTGGCAATGTTGTCAGGGATCCTGCTGGGCAACGGCACCCTCCCTGCCACAATTCTCACCAGTCTCTTCACCGACAGCTTAGTCAAAGAAGGTAATGACCCACCAGGCTTTTCCTCTGCTGTCACATGGAACAAAAAAGCAGACCTATACGCAGAAAAATACTGGGAGCTTTAAACAATTTTCTACTACCCTCCATTCACCACATGAGATGGAACATATGTCTATATGTATAGATATTCCTCCAAATAATAAATGAGTGTACAAATTTATGATTAAAATATCCAAACCTACTGGCATCAAGTAGATTGCAACTCATAGTTGACCCTCCAGTAGGTTTTCAGAGGCGGTAAATTGCAGCAGCTCTATTTTTAAAAAGGACACCTCAAACTCATTGTCATGGAACCAAGTCATAGCTCCCTCTCTATTGAGTTTCTGAAGCTGTAAATTTTGCCATCTTTCTGCCTTCAAGCTGCTGATGGATTTGAACTGTCAGATAGGCACAGCCTTTCGGTGGGCAGTGAGACTCCCCAGGGACTACACCACCTGAGCTCCATAACAACCTATGAGACAGAGGTAAAACTGTCACATAGGGTTGTCAAGGCTCGAAATCTTTACGTATTTCTCCCTGGGCACCAACTAGTCAGTTTGAACCGTCCACCTTTCAGTTAGCAGGAAGTTCTTTATCCAGTGATTTCTTAAATTTATCATAAATTAAAAAATGAATAAATAAATAAATAAATAGATTTAAAAAAAAAACAAACCCAGAAAAAAAGACATTTCACATCTATATGAAGACATATAAAGAGTAAGTACGTGGAACTTTTTGGTATAAAACCCAATGTGTCAGTCCAGTGATTGGCCCCAAATCACTTATCTCAAATTAGTTGTTGCTAGAATAGTTTGTGGGAACAACTCATTACAATAGTTACTTTGTGTGTAACTATTCTAGGAGATATTTAACTTTTTTACCCCTTAAATGCCAGCCAGTAGAACACTGCTGCATTCATGTTAACAATGAAAAATGTCCCATCACATTTTCCAAATGTCCCTCATATACGTGCTGATTTCCCTAGTCGATACTTTCAAAATTGGTACATCTAAGACCTGGGGAAGCAAAGGGAGATCCAGTGGCCTAGTGGGTGAGGAGTTGTGCTGCCAACCCAAAGGCAGGATATTCTAATCCATCAGCTGCGCCATAGGAGAAAGATGGGCAATCTCCTCCCATTGTTTACAGCCTCTGTAAACCGGCGGGAGGGTGAGCTGTGAGTCACTTCCAGCTTGATGGCATACAACAACAAGACCTTGGGGAAACTGGTTCAGATGTTTATTGTGATTGATTTTCAAGATAATCAATATCTCAGTTGTAGAAAGAAGTCATGACCACTGCATCAAAAGGGTCTTGTTTAAGTTATGAAGCGTTAGATGGCATCTATGCAATGATTAAGTAAGAGAATAAAACAAATGTGGACTGTTTATTTCTAGGAGGATACTGATACTCAAATTATAATGCAACACAAAACATGGATTTATTTTTCCTTAAAAGTAAACTAACATAAATAGTGAGTCCTAAGAACTTAAAAAATGTTCCTCCTACATAGTGGAATCCCACCCTCATACATGCCAATAGTGAAATTGTTTTCTAACAATTGAAAGGGCGGTGGGGAGTAGTAAATCTAGTCAAATAATATTATTTACAGATTCTCTACAGTTTCTAGCTTAAAATAGTTCATATTTAAACCATTCTAGACTCTAAACTAATTGGTATTAATTTGTTGTAAATATTATGACACTTAAACAAATTTTCCTTAAAAGAATTCATCAGACTTCACACTTAATATTTATGTTAATAGCCATTTTTAGCACTCAGGAAAATTAGCAGAATATAAAATATAAACAAAGTTACATTAAATTATGCTAACTGTACAGAAAATAATTACTTTTTTATTGTTGTTATGTTATTGAGTTGGAACAGAGTCGCAGCTGACTCTCCAGTAGGTTTCAGAGGCTGTAAATTACATGGGAGAAGATTACCCATCTTTGGAGCAGCTGATGGATTCAAACCACCTGCCTCTGAGTTGGCAACGCAACTCTTTACCCACTAGGCCACCAGAGCCCTAGTGTTAAACATGTATTAGCATGTTTAATATGTTAAACATGTATAGCCATGTATTAATGTTCGTTGCTAGTTATATTAAAAACTCAATTAACATCTATAATTTCTTTAGGAATGTTTTAAAAATGAAACCACCAAATGGATAACATGATATGTGATTGTAAAAACATTGTGCCTGGTATGAGGGAAGCCTTGTCTGTTCTCAAAATGGCGAATAGTCCTCATCAACAACATTCACAGCATAAAACTCATTCCCTTAAGGTCAGACAACGTGCTTTTCACATACTTCTACCAATTCTAACATCAGCTCTCTTTGTTATTATTCAGCATTGCTGTGTTCAACAATTCCTGTAACAAAATGTTAGAGGAAAAGGACTCACTAGTACTGAACCATCTTCTATCTCTAAACCTATTTAAACTTGATGAGATATTACTTGTTCTTTTACACCCTGTGTGCATGTTCCAACCCAATAATCAGGTGAAAGTCAAAGTCATTGAACTAGGAAAGCCATTTTTAAAATCAGCCTGCACCACAGTGATAAAGCAAATATAGCAAAATATTGGCAAGTTGTGGAATCTAGGTGCTTAGCATATTAAAATGTTCACTGTTCAATTTATTTAGCATTTCTATATGTTTGATAATTTTCATAATAAAATGTTAGAGGAAATCATTTTGGGTTGGGTTTTTTTGCCCTCCATCTTTGTGATGACTTTCTGCTCTCTCCATGTATATCCTTTATTTCATCCCACAGCTCCTCTGGTCTTTGATCACTGGTGATCAATGCCGCAAACCTGTTAAGTTAATTTTTTAATTCAGGTAGTATAGACTCAAGGTCATATTATGGTTCCTGTGGATTTGTTTTAGTCTTCAATCTCAATTTGAACTTGAACATGGCTAATTGGTGGTCTGTTCCACAGTCAGCACCTCACCTGGTTTTGACTACTGATATTGAGTTTCTCCAATGATTCTTTCCACAAATGTGGAGTCCAGTTATTTTACCTATTGTTGTTGTTATAAATCACCTGTGACTTATAGCAACCCTATGTACAACAGCCCTGAACCCTGCTCTATTCTGAGCCAACCTTGTTGTCTCTGATACACTTACCCCCATGACTCCAGTCACTGAGTCAATCCATCTCATTGGCCTACTTACAATTTTTAGCTACTTTATACATTCCTAATTTCTGGTGGCAATGATTTTGATCCCAATCACTTTCAAGGTAGTTTCATTATAGTTTCAAGTCTATTTCTACCTAATTTGTTTTAATTGATAGGTACATTTAATTCTGTAGATGAATCCAAATTTACCTTGATTTTTCTGAGCTACTGTTTTTTAAATCCATGTTTAAAAGCTGATAACATCAAACATTTCTGCTAATGTAATATGTTTAGGGGAGCTCTAGTAATATAGTACATAAGGAGTTTCACTGCTAACCTAAAGCCTGTCAGTTTCAACCCAACAGCCACTCCTCAGGGAAGGTTGTCAGGTTCCTCCAGTGTCATTTACATCCTCTGAAAACCACTGCAGGGTGGGGGTGGGAGGTAACAGCTATGTGTCAGATCTAACTCAAGAACAACGAGTTTGAATTTTGTAAAATGTTATTGTTCTGGCTGTATCTTCTCCCCCTCCTTCCAGTTCTTCAGCTATTAAAAAAAAAGAAGAATAAGAGTTGATATCTCTGTATAATGAATGCTTTCTCCTGCAAATTGGCTAAAAGTAGGTTAAATTTCAGGATATCTAAGTGACCTAGCTAACTAGAACAGAAAGTCACAAGTGTTTAATTTTAAAGACTATAGCCTGGATCAGGCGCACCTTAGTCTCCAGCCTGACGTCATTGCTCTTCAGAACTCTTGCGAGGTCCCTCACAGCTGACTTTCCCAGTGCAATTTGTCTCCTGATTTCCTGGCTGTTGTTGCCAAGAATGTTGACTCTAGAAGAGTAGAAATCCAAATACAGGGGCCCTGCTCTAGGGGAAGGTTTTCTCTCTTCAGCTTTAGAGGAAGTCTTCCTCTCTTATGAGCTTCTCCTTCAAGGTAGTATTCTTGGAGTTTCTTCCCCATCTTAGTTTGCATTTAATCCATTTTATATCTCAAATGAGATACATTCAAGATATACCCTGCACTAATCCTGCCTCATTAGTATATGAAAGACAGCCCATTCCCTAAAGGGTTATAACCACTGCCATTGAGATTAATTTGAAGTATTCAAAAAACAATCATCTTGCCTTAACATATATTCCTCTTGGATAATTAAGATCTTGGCCCAGAGTTTCCTTTCTTGTCACTTTTTACCTTGATATTGAACATTTTCACCTGCATCTGTGGCAGGGTCATCAGCCAGTGACTTGGTTGGCAACTTCTGTTTTGCTGCAGGGACTAAAAGTGTCTGATTGGCACCCATGTGGCTACTGTTCTTTCTGCATTCCCCACTCATATCTAATTTGTCTGTCCCTGGCCCTTTCTTTTCAGTTCTAACTCTGATCTGCCTTGTAGCTTTATATAACAGGAGTGTGTGAGGCTAAGGGCAGGAATATAAGTACCTGACTAAAGCACCCATTCCTTATACAACAGAAATACTCAATTTTTTTTTCCTTCCTCAGTAAAGGGATGAAAACTGGGAGGAAAGAACCATCTACAAGATTTCTGATTACTTTTGTTTGGCTGTTATTCCTAATATAAATATGGATGTTTGATTACATTATTTCGTGACCAACCTAGATGCCTTTAAAAATATCCAGGAAGAGATGTTTACAAAGCAAATTAACTTTTCCTTCAACCCTTCATACACATTTTGTTCCATAACATTTCAATACATACAATGTAATCCTATTTTCCCCACTTCCTCCCTCTAATGCTAATTTCCTTTGATACTATGTGGTCCCTTCCTTTGTTTCTTCTGTTCCTTTAGTTATATTGTACTGATCATCCCCTTATTATATATTTCCTGCAGTCACTCATCTTAATAAGTGTCTATTATCTATTTACTAATTTTCACTCCTCACTCCCTCCTATGCCATCCCTTATAACCATCTAAGAATAATCCTGTATGTAAATGTTTTGTTGGCTTTTCATAATAGTGGTCTTATACCATAATAATACTTTTGTTATTGACTTCACTCAACACAAAAATATCATTTTTAAATATGCAGGAAAGATTTAGACTTGAAATCATCTTACTATTTGTTCTTACAGTTTAACTCAGGATTAGGAGTTTCTTTGGGGGTTTGTTTGTTGCTTTGTTGGTTTGTGTTGTTTTTTTTTTACAAGAAAGTGAAATCGACATTATTTATATTGGCTAATATTAATGTTGTTATGCTTGAATCATTCATCTGCAAATTAGTAAGCAAGTATTGCCAATTAGAATAAATAAGCCTTTACAGTTATTTACGTTTCAATAGTAAGTCTAACTTGAGAAAAATATTTTCATTTTTAAGGAAAATTTCTCTTGAAGAAAGAAAATAATTGAGCTCTGCCTACAGCACTCTACCCATTCGTTCTTCTCTTGAACTCCGTCAAATCTTTTACTTGTTTCAGAAGCTTTATCACGTGTGTTTTGGCTTAGCAAAGAAATGACTATTCTTTCTCCCACTCTTTTTTTTCCAAACAGGCATTGCGGCCTCATTTGCTGTCAAGCTTTTTAAAGCATGGATGGCTGAAAAAGATGCCAACTCCGTTACCTCTTCCTTGAGAAAAGCCAACATAGACAAACGGCTGCTTGTAAGTGTCACCTGATCAAAGGACTGTGTGCTTGATACTTATTTTGAGGCTTTGGTAATACCTGCCAAAACATGACCAAAATACCTTGGTCTGTGTGTATGTGTGTGTTGGAGGGTGGGGTGTCCAGGTGTCCTTTTGTTTCTTTGTAACTAATTAGGACAGGGAGATTCATTCTGTCTAACTCTTTGGTATCTAAATAAATGACAGGATCGTGGTGAATATGACATAATACCTACTGCAAGGGAATAGGCAATAAACAAAATATTTTATTCTTGTTGCTGAAAAGATGCCATCGAGTTGACTGCAACTTCTAACAACCCTATTAAAAGCATATCTATTGTGCACCATCCTTCCAATCTATGATAGACAAGACAGAGTTGTTGTTTGGCAGTCCAGGGGATGTTCAATACTCTTCTCCAACACCACAAGTCAAAGGCATTGATTCTTTTTCTGTCATCCCTTGTTCATTGTTCAACCTTCAGATGCATAGGAAGAAACAAAATACCATCACTTGGATCAGGTACACCTTAGGTCTTTCTTTCCCTTCCTACCTTTTCCCCTTTATTTCTATAGAATATATATCCAAAATATGTAGCATAATAGAAAAGAGAAAAATTCTGTGGAGAAAAAAATGAAATAAGGAAGAGATCAAGAGTCTCAGTGGGGTATGTTTTTTTTTTTCAGGTAAGGGGAAAACCCTTCTCTGATAAGTGACATTTGTATAAAGACTTGAAGCAAGTAAGGAAATTAGTCATGCATCTGTTGGAAATGTGTTCTACACAATCACCTGGGCCTTGATGTAGGCACATCTATGACAGTGTGGGGACTGGACAAGGAGAGTGCATGACACGGAAAGTACAGATCATCTCTGCAAGATAACACAGCCATTACTCTGAAGCATTACGACTTTTATTCTAGATGATCTGAGAGTTTATAAAGGATTGTAATGCTGCAATGCACGTAATGTGATGTTGAGTTTTAACAGAACCACTCTGCCTGTTGCACTGGGAATAAACATAACTTTATATTAAATTCTACAGTTGCAGTCTTACTAAATAGAATGGGTTAGTGCCAGTGTGAAGTTGTGGAATAAGCATTGACTTGGCAATTGTAAATTTTTTTCAGCCTTCGTATGTTGAGTCAAGCTGCTTAGTCTTATAGAGACTTAGTTTATTATGTCTGAATAGCAGAAAACAGGACATTGGGGTACAGAGCCATAAGCGTCTCTCTGAAAGGGCTAGAGGGGGTAAGAATAGCACAGCCTTTCACTGCCCCAGAGCAAAAAGCAGATAAAGAGCCATAGCCCAACCCCATGGTTCCTCTAGAGCCCCAGTAACAGCAAGAGGTTCGTTTATTCGTTGCTGCCTCACACACTCATGGTACAAACAATAGGATTTATTAGGGAGGTGAGTGGGTGATGCAAAGAATATTTCACAGTACAAGTCCAGGCTTTTGCCCAACAGTTCCAAGGTACAATTCCTCAATTAGTCTAGGCTCTGGTTTCAGTTCAGCAGTCAAGTCCAGAAAGGTTTGCCTCAGAGCAGTTGTAACTCAGTTTCTCCATCAAACGTCTGGCAAGAACAGCCAGACCTTTAACTGTACCTCGCACAAATACAAAAAGCCTCAGGTCACACCTTGCCAGAGTTTCTTCACAGTCTCTCTACTAACAAGTTCTTGCCACCACAAGCTTTGCTTGCCTCCAGTCTTGCTGTTCAGTGTGAGAAGCACTCTTTTTTATCTTAGTCTCACAGCTGATGCTGATTTGCAAGACTGTGTGTCTGTAGTTAAGGTCGCTGGAGACCAGATGAGGGTAACTATCTAATGGCTTGAAAAAAACCAAAAAAAAACATGCCAGCTTTTAGGCTAACACCACAATCATCTAGATAAGTGGATTTCTACTTTATTGTAATTTTGGTAAAATTTCACAGTGCAGATTGGCTTTCTATTCAACAATTTATACACATTGTGTTTCATGATATTGATTCTAAATCTTCATAGTGTAACAATACTCTTCCTACTTCCTCCCTGTGTTTACTCTGTGCTTTACCAACCCTGCCTTTTGACCTCCTGGGCAAATACTGGCCCTTTGATTCCATATGATTGATTATTCTAAGGCATGTTTACCCCCTGGTGTTATTGTTCACCTATATGCTTGTCTGTTGTTTGCCTGCAAGTTGGGAAAAGGAGAAGTGGGGGTTAAATTCAGTTCCTGTTTTGGAAAGTACTTAAAGATTATGGGATAAGTTTCTCTAGTCAGTCAGTAAGCCTTGGTCTTTTTCTTTTCTTCTTTTTTTATTAAACCTGCCCCCCATGGTCTACACTCATCTTTTTTCATTACTTTGAGTTTGAAAATGTTCTACTTCACATGATTATTATGGGGAGAGTATTCAGCCTATTTTGGTTCACCAGAGAAACTCAATGAGCTTAAATGACTTCTCTGTCCCCTAAATTTAGAAGGTTTCATGAGTAATAGCACAGATGTTAGTAGCAAAATTTTTATCTAGTATGAAATATTTGCTTTAATAAGCATGTGTGTTTGATAGTATCTCCCACCAATACTTTTCTGACTTTTGAAATTAATTCATGACTCAAGCAGGGAAAATATGGAATGAGATACATAGAGTATTGAAATTTGGGTCATGATGTAAGTTTCCCTTGACTGTGCCTCTACGCACGATGGCAAATCCAGTACACATCGTTCTACCCGCATTCTATTGAAAATACACAGCCATCGGCCATATGTATGCAATCTAATAAATAAAGAAGTAAGGATTTCTTTTTTAGACTGCAAAAGTCTGAAAAATGTGAGTGCTGTGAGAATAACTTAATTTCTTAGTTTGCTGTTGAACTCACTCAGGATTAGAACATGACTAAGTGTTGCTGAGACTTTGCCAAGCTGTGTAGGGTTTAGTGGAAATGAGGTAAAAATAGGATAGCAGTCATGTACATTGCTCTTTCTGTTTCTTCCACAAGAATTATGTAATAAATGAAAGAGTTGACAGAATGGATTTAGATTCCATGTCTGCTATAAGTTTAATTAAGAGCCATCATCATTAAAATATGTAACAAAGTTACTTTTAACTCCTGTGACAGTCTTTTAGGCCTTAATAGCACCATTTTCTCAGAATGTGCATGTCCTTGAGATGATAATGGCTAATTATTTTTTCTAATATCATCTCAAATCATTTCAGCATTGCTAAAACGGATTTTTTTTCTGTTAACTCATAATTAAGGAAACAATTTATTATCTTATTATTTCAGTTTATTCTTGTCAATTACAAGGAAACAATTCAAATGTTATTCAGCATAGTAAGAGAATTGTCCCCATCAACAATATCCACACATAAAACAAATTCCTAGGATTTCAGACACGTCCCCCATACTCCTGCACCTCTTTCTATTCATCTCAACACCAGTCTTGCTGTACTACATCCAAAATCCATTGCAATAGCTCACAGACTACACAGAATCATATTAGGAAAGTCAATGGGCTGTAATGCAAATTGGCAGCAAGATAAAATTACTCAGTCAGGACAGCTTTCAAAATGTGCTTGAGGCACCTCGGCCTTCCACCTCATGGCTTTAGGTAGGCCGGTGTTAGGAAACTCTTAATCCTACCAATGAAGTCTTGTAACAAATTGGGGCAAAAGCTCTTAGCTGCGGTTCCATGGGATAGCAATTAGCAAGGTCAGCTCTATCTGCTGGCAGGTCCCTGTCCCGCGGCTGTTGCCATACTCCTGTAGGCCTGGCTGGCACAAGAATTTCTGGCACTCAAAGGGTATGCTATATTCTCTGTTTCTTCTTTACTGGTGGTGAAAGTCTTAAAATCTGCTCAACTTAGTGGCGAGACTAGCCAGTCCCCTTGTGGTTAGACTAACATGCCCTATTCACGTATTCCCACCCATCTTTAAGACAAAGGCTAAGTCACTTGTTAGGAAAGCCATTTTAAACAATAAACCCTTAATACCATCTCCTTTGTTGCCATGTTTCTTTAGTCTTTGAGGATATATCTGATTTTAGAAACTACGTTTCTTCAATCTGCTTGCTGAACAAATCATTTGAGAAGCTGGACTTTACAAAGAATGTGGCATCAGGATTGGGGAACTCATTAACAACCAATCTTGCTTGATAAAAGTGAGGAAGACTTGTAATGCTTGCTGCAGAAGGTCAGCGGCTACAGACTCTCATGGATTACAACTCAACATCCAAAAAACAAACATCCTCACCTCCAGATCAATAAGCAACATCATAATAGATGGAGTAAAGATTGAAGTTGTTCATGATTTCATCTAACTTGAATCTATAATAAACACCCTTGGTATCAACAGTCAAGAAAGCAAAGGACAGGTTACATTGGAAAAATTTGCTGACAGGGACCTCTCCACGGTGTTACAGAGCAACCATCTTAGTTTAATGATGTAAGGGGTACCTGGCCCAAGCCACACTCCTTTCAGGTACTTACTATGCATCTCTAAGTTTATTTGAGTTGTAAAACTGGAGAAGAAGATTGAATATCCCATCAACTGCCAGAAAACAAACATGTCTTGGAGAAAGTGCAATCAGGGTGCTCCTTAGAGGATAGGATGATGAAAATTTGACCGACATACTTTAAGCTTATTGTTAGGACGAGCATGTCCTTGGGAAAGGACATCATACTTGGAAAGTTGGAGCTCAGTGAAAGAGAGAAAGACCTTCAACAAGATGGGTTGACACAGTGACTGTAACAGAGTGACCGAGTAGATCAGAAATGGTGAGGATGGCACAGGTTAGGGCAGGGTTTAGATCCATTGTTCAGAAGGTCACTCTCCTTCTTCGTTTACTTGAAAGCATCTAACACCAAGAGTTGCTGTTGTTGAGTACCACTGAGTCAGAACTGACCCATAATTGACCCTCCAGAGGGTTTTCAAAGGCAATTACTTGCATGAGAGAGGATTGCCACCCTTCCCTGTGTAGCAGCTGGAGGATTTGAACTGCATGCCTTTGGGATTGCAGTGTAGTTTCTTAACACTAGGCCCCCGGAGCTGACCTTTCCCAACTTCAAAAAGGGGAACTGTCACTGTCCACAACATCAACAACACAAAACTAATTTCCATTTGGTCAGACATGTTCCCCATACCCCCACATCTCTTTCTACGCATCCTAACACCAGTCACATTGCTACACTGTGTCCAGAATCCATTGTGAGAGCTTGCAGACCACACAAAACCATATTGAGGAAGTCAAAAGTTAGAATCCAGGTTAGTAGCAGAAAACAGGGCAGCTTCTGAAATGTGCTCACATGGACCTCAACCTTGAGCCATGTGACTTTAGGCCAGGGTTACACAGCTCTCAGTCCTGCCAGTTACGGCTCTCTCCACTCCACCTCACCTCCATCCCCACCCTCAGTTGTCCAATAATCTTGGGCAAAGGCTCTTGGCTCTGGTTCCTTGGCATAGCAGTTCGAAGGTCCCATCTCATGTCAGGTTTCTGGTTCTCCATCTCATATGACTGGTTATGTGTTTGGTTCTCTGCTGTGGCTGCTCTGGGGACTGTTCCTGTAGGCCGTGACCCAAGAGGACACACTCCATTCACTGCTTCTTTACTCTCCAGCCTGCCACTGAGTCTGCTCAGTTTAGTGGTGAGACTAGCCAACCCCCTTGTGGATAGGCTAACATACCCTATTCACTTATTTCTGGCCATGGTAAAGTCAAATTCAAAGGCTAGGAAAACCATTTTGAATAATAAACCCTAACACCACAGTTGTTAACTAAAAAACTTTCAAGGGCAAAAAAAAAAAAGATTCTTTTGAAATTGGTTTTTGTTCTTCCCAATATGAAATCTTTTCCATGTTGTTGTTGTTGTTGTAGTTGATTGCCTTCAAGTCGAACATGACTCATAGTGACCTTATGAACAAAAGGCCTGAAACCTTTCTATAACTATCGACATTTATCACAGTTCATAGTTTCCAGAGACATGTTGTTTAGGAAGTGGATACCATTCATAAGACTATTACCCTTTATGCTTGCTGAACTTTGTATAGTTTGTTTTCTGTCTCTCTTCTCTTTCTCTAGACTATGAAGATGGTATGTACAGTATAAGACAGGGTTCAGATCTGTTGTTCTCAGAGTACCTATGAGTCGTACTCGACAGCACCTAACAACAACCATTCTTCTCTTCTAGGAGCTCTTTCCAGTTAACCGACAGAGTGTGGATCATTTTGCTAAATACTTCACAGACGCGGGTCTGAAGGAGCTCTCTGACTTCCTCCGAGTCCAGCAATCTCTGGGCACTAGGAAGGAACTCCAGAAGGAGCTTCAGGAGCGACTTTCTCAGGAATGCCCAATCAAGGAGGTGAGCAGGCATCACCACCACATGCTAGAGTAAGCAAAGCTACCTAGGTCGTGTAACACAAGTGTTTTCTCGCTTTAGGTGAGCTCCCTTTATTGATTGCTATAAACTTTATCTGCTAATTTCTACCATTAAAGTTAGCACAATAGCAGTGTTTCTTCAGAATCTTCGTTTTATTACACTCCAGGCTGTGGCAGAAATGGCAGTTTTCAAACAAATGACTATATTAGATTTTACTAAAGCTTCTATACTTGCTTCAGTATGTCATGTGTCAATTAGATTTGACCATGTGTTACCAGAATATTTCATTATGTCCTTCTTTTTGTTGCAGATTTTTACTAATGTTTAAAGTTAAAACTAGGTGTTTATACAAGTGTTTTTGTCTTTTTTCAATATTAAAAGGAGAAAAGTTAGATGATTTAATATTTATACCATGGAATCAATTCAACCAGAGTCATCTTGTCCACACACAATTGTTGTTTACCTCTTAATATCAACACTACCTCAGTTTATAGAATTATTACAGTATTGTGTTTTGACTTTTTAGTTTTGTGCTTTATTTTAGTACATGTATAGAGAAAATGTCCTAACCAAACTTTTAAAAGCTTTTACATGACATGAAATCGAATCCTAGAGTCTGTTCTTTTTGACACACAATCCTAAATCCCTAACCTCCTCCTCCACATGCTCCGAGCATCTCATTTGGTTTGATGCTAGGAACTCCACGTTATTACTACCTATCAGATGGAGATTGCAAATAACAAGCGATTGCAAATACCATAACCTGTATCAGGCGCACCTTAGTCTCCAGAGAGACACTGTTGCTCCTGAGCACCTTTGAGAGGTCCCTAACAGCAGACTTTCCCATCGCGATATGCTTTTTGATTTCCTGACTGCTGGTACCAAGAGTGTTGACTGTGGAGCCGAGCAAACTGAAGCTGTGAACACTCTCAGTCTCTTCGTCATCCATCCTGA